AGGATTGCGTGCATTATGAACGAATACGCTGCACAAACACATACTCGCGCGCGGAGAGGCATGCGCGTCGGGCAAGGTCGCCGCAGGTGAAGCTACGGGCGAAACGCGATCGTGATAATTCGACTTGCTAGCACGGAAAATTCCGCGTTCGATCGATCTCCAAGTCGAACGTAATTTAGAAAAAAAAAACGACGTTACGCGGCTCGTAACACGAGTGAATCTACCTCGAGAGCGCGACAGATAATAGTTGCGCGCCTCGCCAGATTATACCCGTACACTGAGAAAAAGTCTTTCAACATTTATTTGTGGCATATAATGTTTACTTCAGTGAAAGAAGCATTATATGCCTTAAATAACGTTTATTTTAGTGAAATAAACATTACATGCCACAAATAAATTTTCAAAGACTTTTTTCTCAGTGTATGCTGTATCTCGCTATTAATCATCCGGATATTTTCGCGTTACTCCCCGATGGAAATATCCTGCTGAAAGTATCGCGAGATCGGTTAGCCGCGGTGAAACGGAAGTTATTTTACAAAAAAAAAATAAATTAATATAGAGAAATCCCTCGGGCTTCTAATATAACACGGAAAGAACAATGTAGCTGCTGTAGCTAAAACTTAGCAAAATAGGGACAGCTAATATTTTTAGTTGTGGTAGCTCAATATTTTGCTACGACAGCAAACCGTTTGCTGTCGCACCTAATACAATAGGCACAGTAGCAAAATATTGAACTATCACAACTAAAATATTAGCTGTCCCTATTTTGCTAAGTTTTAGCTACAGCAGCTACATTGTTTTTTCCGTGAAGCTAGCGGAGTTTTCGCTAAATTAACAGGCATCGTCTGTCGGTTCCATCATAAATTTATTGCCCTTCGAGCGAAATCTGTTGAGGGGAAAATTGACTGTTAAGCCAACGGCACGCGATACTATTTTTCCTCCTAGATTGCTTACGAGAACCATCAAAGATTTAAGCCAACGGCACACGATACTAATTTTCCTACTGGATTACTTACGAGAGACGTTTAGCACCCTGATTGGCTCTCGCAAGCAATCCAGTAGGAAAAATTCGAAAACTCCGCCATCCAGATTGGCTCTTGTAAGCAATCCAGTAGCAAAAATAGTATCGCGTGCCGTCGATTGAATTTTTCAGAGACATTGCTGAAACGATCATGAAACTGTCGATTGAGAGAGATCCGAATACATTCCAGTAAAATTGCATAACGTTTATACATATTCGTAAGTATTTATTATATATAGATAAAAATATTTATAAATATTTCCACCGGGAAATACCGCGGCTTTCCGAAGCATCGAGCGCGTGAGAATTTCGCGTTTGTTCCTCGAAGCGAGATCCTTCGAGCCTTCGGCCGATGGCGTCATCCTTGTAACCGCGTCGAGCCTAGTCGACAATACCAATTCAATATTGAAACGACTCTAGCTGTTAATTACCGAAGGCAACAGGCCGGACAGCTAAAAAGTCAACAGACAGACGGCGCAAAGAATCCGACGTGATACCCAGGTCTTATCGTGGACTCTCCGATACGCGGGCCACGACGCAACGACGCGGCGCCACGAAACGCGAGAGGAGCCTCGAGGGACTTACCGAAGATGGTGTTGCTGGGATTCATGGCGACCTGGTTCTTCGCCGCGTCGCCGATCAGCCTCTCGGTGTCGGTGAAGGCCACGTAGCTCGGCGTCGTCCGGTTGCCCTGGTCATTGGCGATGATCTCGACCTTGCCGTGCTGGAAGACGCCCACGCACGAGTACGTGGTGCCCAGGTCGATCCCGATTGCCGGTGCTTTCGACATCTCGCCGGTCTCTCTCAGTTTCCTCGGCGGTAATCACTGAAAGCAGAAACCGATGCGTGACAGAGACGCGATACGCCGCGATAAAAAAAAAAGAAAGAAACAAAAAGAAAACGCTCGACGAGCCTCGGGCGCAGATCGAAGTCCTCGATCTCTCGAGCGAGCCTCCGCGCTCGAAATAACGTCGACGCAATCAAATGCGCGCCGTGACGCTTCTCGAATTTCCCGGATCGCAGAGGCGCGCCTTCGCGAAAAGCGTCGCGAGAAGGGATCGTTCCAGCGAGACGTGACTCGTCGAAGCGATGTCGAATCTGTGTCGTTTCGACGAATCATTTCCCACTGGGACTCGAAGTTGTGCAGTTTCGAGAAAAATTTCGGCACGACGCGACGAGCCTCGGAAAAAGAAAGAAATGCGCGATTAATCCAGGTGGCTTTGCTCGAGCAACTTACCTCGCGATAGTCTTCTCTAAAACGTCCAAGACTTGAATAGACTCGTGAATAGAACACTCGGCGTTGCTCACTGTTACACTTGACGCCTACTCCGACCCTCGTCGCGTCTGTTGCGAAACTGACGGCGCAGCCCGCGCGCCGCGCTTTTAATACACCGAATCGCCCGCTTCGAGAAGCTTCGAGAAGCTTCGAGAAGCGGATGACCAATCAGGGCGCGATCCCGCGGAGCCACGAGACGCTTCCATTGGCGGTCGGACGCGGGAGCGACGAGGAGGGACGTGACGGTGAAACAAGGACGGAGAGAAGAAACGTGGGTAGACGCTGGAATTGTCGAGCGTGTGCTAGAATATTCGCGGCTATAATTAGCTGCGCGCAAATCGAGCCTCGTCACGGCGTGACGCATTGGTGAAACGGGGGCCTAAGCGTTTTTGCGCGCGAGGTCCACGCTCGATCGCATATGGCACGCACGGAACACGTTCGCGTTCATTCCATAGACGTCCCATACAGCACAGAATATTGCAGCAACATTGCAACGAATGTTGCGATGCTGCAAATTGCAATGCAACATTACGGAGACATTGTAGAAACATAAATTATGCCTGCAATATATCAGCAATATGGCATTTATATTCCGGAAATATTGCAAAACTACAATTCTATAATTTTGCTATGATAACAATATAACTTTTTACAATATTTGTGTAAAGTCATTTAGTTTGATAGTCATTCTCAAGATACAATAATTAATAATCGCGTTTATATTCAAGTCTTATTTATTATTTGACGGCCATTTATGTCATGGAATTTTATTAAATTTTATATTTATTTTAAAAAATTAGAATATTAATACATATGTATAATATCGATTTTAGATCCAACGCATTATTATATCGTACACAGTATGTGAAGTAATGAAAAATATATGATTTTTCAGTCGTTTCGATATCGCATACTATAAATATATTGAAAAAAACGCAAAACACAATATTGTATACAACTTTTGAAAATACATGAAACCATATATAATATAAAATAATATATTTTTCAGTTGTTTCGATATCACATACCGATATTTACTTATAATTACATACTTATATTTAAAATCACATACTTTGTAAGTCGTAATAAAAATACATTATGAAATATATTTTTATTACGACTTACAAAGTATGTGATTTTAAATATAAGTATGTAATTATAAGCAAATATAAATACGTGATATCGAAACAACTGAAAAATATATAATTTTCTGTAAATTTCAAAAATAAAAGTTTGTAATTATAATTAATTTACTTATTTATACCTGTAATATATTCCTATATAGAACATTCGAGAAATGTTGTAGCAATGTTTCAGCAAATATTGCTGAAATGTTGAAATATCACTAAACTATTTTGTAATGTATGAGTTGTGCTTCATTATTTTAAATATATTACATTGCAATGTTGCTGTAATGTTTCGTTGTAATATTTCAAGAAACGGACATCTTAATATTGCTGCAATCTTGCAGCAGTGTTGCAGCAACATTTCGCAATCGATATGCAATATTGCAATATGTTTCAATGATATCATTCTGCAATGTTCCTGCAATCTCTCTGTGCTGTATGGAGTACAACATAAAATAGGTTTGTTTTCTGTTCCTGCACTGGTGAACTAGTGCAATAAATTAGCGTAAGGTAAGTATATTTTTCTCATTCTACCTTACTATGCACTACCCGTACAGCACAAAACTTGCAGTTACATTGCAATAACATTGCCACACTATTGCAACATTGCTGTAATGTAGCTGCAATGTAACTGCAAGGTTTGTGCTGTATGGGTAGTTGACCAGTGCAGGAACAGAAAACAAACGTCTTATGTAATATGGTTCGTTCGCGCACTTTCTAGAAAGCGCGCGGCTCTTCCACCGAGTGCGTTTGCGCAGAAGGTTCTCGGACATTCGAGAACATACGAGATTCGTCATTGACTACGTTTCCACCGAGGGTCAGAGTCGGGCCAGAGTCGGGTCAGAATCGGGTTGGGGTGAGTGCTCTTGCGGTGGAAACACCAAAACACCAAACCCTGATTCTCTAGCCCGACTCTGACCCTCGGTGGAAACGTTTCCTGTAGAATGCCCGCCTCGTTGTATTTCTTCAATCTACGATCACGCGGTGGTCTCGATTCGATTGAGACGTGGATTTGAACGCTGTGTATACAGGAAACGAATTTTGTTAAGACTAATAGTACTGTTAATTGTTATTAGCCCGCGGAATTTTCCTTGACGCTGCAATGAGAATTTTGAGACTGTAAGGCTAATATGTTACATTTGTCGTGCGACAAATGTAATGTAACCACGCTTTAAATGCAATTAGATTTTGCATCGAGGAACGAGGCGACTGAGATGTAATTGAATTTCTTATCTGCTTTTTACTTGGTGGGTGTTCGATAGACTCAACTTTGCTGGAAGTTGTTTTGCAAGGATTGCGAAGTACGGATCTATTTAAAGATCGTTGTAAAATATTCCTTATTGAATGCACGGTAAAATTGGTAAAAATAGCTGTAGATAACGCTATCGGATCCTAAGACATATACCTAAGACCTAAGACATATAAACAAATACACCATTGTGCATGTCTGCCGAATCCGGCCTTCCGCTCCTCCGAGCGCCTATTCGCTCAGACTTTTTTCTTAATTACACGATAATTATTACGAATTTTGCAAAATGGTATATAGGGTATCCCAATTTAATGTCCCACCCCAAATAACTTTTTTATTTTTGATCGCAGAAAAAAACGTTTCAGACAAAAGTTGTTTGGTTTCGAGGGGGACATAAGACGGTATCATTTATGTGACCTTGAATAGTTGCTTGAAGGTCACGTGAAGGTCACTTTCAATTTTTTAAATGGAACCCCTTATTGTTTATTATACCATCTTATTCTACTAATTAATATGAATAATTTTTGTCTGAAACATTTTTCGATTTGCCTAATACTTTTTGATATATTCAAGAGAAAATTTTAACTTTTTCCATGTTTAGCTTAATGATATTTCGATAACTGTTTGTCGGAGGGAAAAGTAGTACGGGACTTTTTTACTTGATTTGATCTCAGAAATATGCTGTTGCAATGGTGCTCCAATTATTGATAATTTTTGTGTATGTTACAATACACAAAAATTTTCAACAATTGGAGCACTATTGCAACAGCATATTCCTGAGATCAAATCAAGTAAAAAAGTCCTGTACTACATTTAAGAATTTCACTGTTCGTCAATAAAATTGTTCACCTTTCGCGAATTTACGCTAGAGGACAAGATTCATGATTACGCCCATGATCTTGAGTGCTAACAATAGACTATGAATACCAGCCATAAATACATAATTATACTTAATTATACATTCATTATCTAGATGCCACATGCGTATTATCCTTTCGTCAGTCACCTCGCGCGACAACAACGCTCGATCAATTCGCCCTCTTTCTTATCGCGCGACGGCCGACCGCCGACGGCCAATCGCGAGCGTCGCGCCCGCCCATTGGCCCGCCGTTCGCTCGCCAGAAGCGACCAACGAACTATAGCCTCCGTGGCTTCCCCGTCCGCGCGAGCTGTCATGTAGGAGAGAACGCTCCGATTCTCGTCGCTCCCCAACGTCGTCGACGCGCGCTGCGCCACGAATGCAATCGCGCGTGGAACGATACCCGTGGATACGCGCGCGCACTATGTGACACCCGCGGTCCGTGCAACGGTGAACGGTACGCACGCACGTACGCACGCACGGCGGCCTCCCGAGTCCGTTCCTCAACGCACCGCGGTTGTAAACATTAACGCCGTGATCCACACGCGCGCACACCGTGGCGCACCAGCGGGTCTTCCGTTATGAACGCTTAGTAAGTATCTTCTCCATTCCGTCCCCGGTCTCGGGAAGCGACGTTCGTCGCTTCCAGTCCGAGATCCGATCGCCGACTATAGTGAATCAATATGGTAGTTCGCATCTCCTCGTGTTATTAATAGAATATCGTGCAAATTGATTATCCGAGTTCTCCGTAGGCTCCTTCCTAGGGTCCGTCTTCCTGTTACGTTGAAGAAGAATGACGTCCGCCTCCCTGTTTCCTCTTCCTGCGTGGCTGATACATTATCTGTGGGGCTCGCAACCTTTCCTCTCTCTCTCTCTCCGTCCGGTTGGTCGGGAAAAGGAAATGCATTTGCGTTAATAGACATCGTGCGAAATTGACTATTCAACTTTGCTAGATCTTGCCCTTTTATTGCATTAAGGGTGTCTCTGTCTCCTTTTTCACCTTCCTGTACGACTCATAAGTCATCTGTGTAGTTTGCAGACTTTCTCTCTCTCCGTCCTGTTAGTCGGATAAAAGAAATACTTGCATTTACGCCAGTAGGATTTGACTAATAATCTAACGTTGACGAAAAGCAGACAATGGGTTCAATCGTTTTGGCATTTTTGTATTAACAGTGAGAGAGTATGCTTTCTTTTATCGAGGTCCTTGCATGTAACTACTTAGACTAATCGCTGTTGTGTTTAACAAGAAACTTACAAAACTCGTTTGTGCCATGCATGCAGTAACAAAGGTGCACCGGGCGTGTCGGGGAATGCCTTTGATTGCTGGGTTCAAAAGCATGACGATTCCGCCATCATAAAGATGCAGTACCAATTCTGGGTGAGAAAGCAGGCCTTGTCCCAGAAATTGGGGAAGAAGGAGGACGAGTGTATAGTCGCCTCAGACGCCGAGCTGGACGCGAAGCTAGAATTGTTCCGCAGTATCCAAGATTCCTGTTCCTACTTACAGAGGGTTATCGATAGATATCAAGAGAGACTATGCAGTGCGTTCTAACATAATTCCTAATACGAAATAACCGTGTCGATTGCCGTAGATACATTTTGTTAAGGTGAATCTGACCGATCGAGACACCGCGATGATGGGACAATTCCGTCTTGTTTAGACTTGGCCCAGGAGGAGAATGGAATGGGACGTTTCTTGAAAGATGCCGGGAAGCAGGACAAGACTCGCGCCGGCAAGATGATGTCGGCGGTCGGCAAATCCCTGTCCTACTCCGGTCAGCAGAGGCTCGCGTTGAGATCGCCCTTGGGCCGATTGTACCAGGAGGTGGAGACATTCAGGCAAAGGGCCATCGAAGACACGTTGCAGAATGTACAAGCGATGGAAAAGGCCCGCACCGAGTACCGAGCTGCTCTGTCGTGGATGAAAAATATTTCCGCCGATTTAAATCCAGACGCGTCCAAGCAGCTGGAAAAATATAAGAAAATTCAGGCCCACGTCAAGCAGTAGGTTCCTATATTTTGCATATTTATCCGGCACAAAGTGCAATCGTAGACTCGATCGGTGTTCAAATTGTTATATTTTGTTTAATCAGATGATGCACTTCCGTTTCTTATAGATTTGACCTAATCACGCACTCGTGAGATAAGAGAAATTTGTATCTTACGCTATATATTTGTTCTGATTCAGGGGCAAAATAGTTTTTGACAATCTGGCCCTCGACTGTCTTCAGAAAGTTGATTTGCTAGCGGCGGCAAGGTGTAACATGTTCAGCCATGCCTTAGTTTTATACCAAACCACCCTCCTGAATTTCACAAAGAAATCCGCACAGGCGTATGCCACGATAGCTAACAGCTTCAAAGGCTATCAACGTTATGACTTCACAGTCGTGCGAGAACTGGCGGAGACCTCCAGTAAATTGGCGCAGGAAACTGGCGGCGACGATGATTTGGAGGACAAGGATAAGTGAGTTACACAAAAGTGAGAGTAAACACCGGTGTGTTGTCACTTTCGTTCTTACGTAAACTTTTACAGATTACAATTTTTCGACATGGATTATCACGACGACGTTGAGGAAGCTCAGGAGGCTACCGCAAACTTGGGAAGCGCATCGGCGAAAAATAAGAAAGAGGACAAGCTCCTGGACATAGAGAACGAGCCGAAGGATACATTGATACATTTGGAGACGACGGACTCTTCGAGAAACGGAGTCGTGCCTAGTACCAAAGATACAGAAAACGATAAGAGTCTCGAGGAGTTCTTTGGAAAGCTTATCCTGGAGAAAGATACGTCCAACAGTACTGAACAATCGGTTAATAAATCTGAGAAAAAAAATCATACTCCATTCAACAAGAGCTCCGAGGGACAGAAATCAGTAATAGACATATTCGATGAGTGCAACGCCGACTTTAACTTGGCTGACCTGTCCCCCTTGTCATCGGAGGCTCGGCAGCAGCAGCAGTCGTTAAATTTACTGGCCTCCGAGAGCGCGGCGCTCTTCGACGAGATCCTGAACGATAAGCAGCCATGCACAAACAATGATTGGGAAGGCATATCGCACGACACTTTCCTACCACCAAGCATCTTGAAGCAGAGCCTGGGCGATGCGGCGCTAGGTATGGGACAGAAGAGTACCACTAGTAACATGGACGATAAAGTGAGTATTCGTCAGCTGCATTCGATGATAATATAATCCGTATCTAGCGCAATTAATACATAAAAAAAATGTTCCCCTTTCGTAGAAAAAGAATAAGACTGGCAAGCAGAAAGGAAACTCGTGGTTGGATTTGTTCGCTGAACTGGATCCATTGGCTAACAATCCAATGGAGAATCTTTCTGGTGACAGTAATGCTTCTGCTTAATTCGTAATGCACTCGAGCATTTGCCCTCTTACTTGTAACGATAAGAAAAACCGATCGAGTTATCGTTTGTTATCGACGAGTGATGCGACGAGCGCATAATTCACGATATTCTCACTTCATACGTTTGTATCGGTAATTATTAGTATGTGAACTTTTAAATTTAATACTTCAGATTTATTTTATCGTCATAAGAATCGCCATAAGAATCAAAAACCGTTTGAATTACACAAGTTTTCATATAAGCTAAGATACCAAAGATATAAGATGTAATATTTATTGAACATTATGCGCTAATTATATTTTCTTTCAAATATATATGTATATATATATACATATATATTACAAGATCTTCACTATAAATTTACTATGGAATTCTTTGTATTTCTGGCGGATATATTTAAGGGTACGGAAGTATACCGGCGGGCATAAATATATTTGCTTTCTATTTATTTCAATTTCTTTTTTTTCTTCATCATTTTACTTATCCCCTTAATTTCTTTTTATTGCATATGACAATTCGCATCTGAAGCCTCTGCTTGTGAATCAATGTTTTACGCAAATATGTATCAAACACTTCCTTTGACATAAGCAAATGAATCATGTGTGATGCACGTCACTTTCCTCTATTAAGTTAAATAAATACTACAGAGACAGATTACAGGCACAGGCTCAGAAATATTTGTTCGTCTTGTTGTAAACTTTCAATTATACATTGTCAACCGAGGTGATCACAGTGTTAACGTCGAACTCGTAATTTACTTCAAATATAAAAAAAAGGCGACACTCGAAATCATAAACCTAATCTTCATCGGCGATACGTTCCGCGTTCAAGGTTCGTAGAATTGCGATAGGGCAGTCTTGACTCTGAAACGGAAATGACGAATAAGACTCTCATACAAAAGGTTCGCGATACGACAATAACTTAGCACGTAACGTTCATCTTTCATACTTCTCAAATAGCTGAGTGTCTTTCGTGTGACGTAATTGTTGCAAAATACGATGAATTCCTAATTCCCGCAGGCGCGCTTGCCGCTGCGCGGCACCGGGTTCTTCTCTCCAGACTAGGTTGCATACACAAAAAATAGCGGCGACTTGCAGCTTCACGTTGCTGTGCATCTAAACAAAATGTACACGTAAAACGTCGAATCGTACAATCGATGACCAAGGTATCAAGATGCAGAAGAAAGTCCCCAGTTATGAGAAAAGTTCCTAATGTGAGATAGCAGGTTTCGAACATTCAATTTCACAAATCTTTTCGCACAATTTAACAATGAATTGTCTACCAAGTAGATTTCGCTCCAGGGGTAATAAATAGGGTAATTGATAGTGGAACAAACATATGATGCCTAGCGGAAACCCTGCTATCTCATATTAGGAGCCTGTCTCATAATACTCTCTAGCTATCAAATTAATAGATAGGACTCGAAAAGATAAGAATACTTGATCGATTTAAGTACACTTGGTGCTTGCGATAAAGCTGTTATTTTTCCACGTCACAGACAAAACAGTTGCTCCATAAATACGCGATTTGTTTTTTTTTCACCGAATGAAAAATTTTTTATCATCCTGTCTATTAATGATGAGAACATGCAACATTAATCTACGCTGTACGAACCATGTAATCCATGAGTTTCTTAAGCACGTCGTCATTGGCCATGATATGATCTCTCGCTCGGTCGCCATCGGCCACGTTAGCCAAGATGCAGAGCGCTTGCTCTTTGACGTCCGCCTGGTGTTCCGGGTCTTCCAGTACTAGAATGACTGCTTGCATAACATGCGTCGCGTGCTCGATCATTATACGATCTATGTGAGCTTTGGTGGAGAGCAAGTTTCGCAGCAGGCCCAGCGTTTTCATCAGGATGCCCACCTCGGGATCGGCCAGGAGGCGAAAGATCTGATCTGTGCCCAGGCACGAGAGTATTTGCGACTTGACACGTTGCTCCGCTTGGAACGCCACGTTCATCAGGGCCCAAATGCCGTTGAGTCGCAGCGCCCCTTCGGGCCGTTTGGTGAGGGAGCACAGTAACTCTACGCCGCCTGACTCGAGAATTGGCTCCTTGCTCGGACTGAACTCCAACAGTAAATTGCACAAGGTACTCGAGGCAACGGTCAACAAGTCAGTTTCAGCTTCGCCTCTTCCTGTAATACGATAACGAAACAATGTGTTAATAGTACTCGTATATGTATATAGCTGGCGATCGAACACTGATAATAACAGCTAATTACAAGCACTGATCTATTTGTTCTCGTTCTTCTTTTTGAAAAATAATCTTACGACGCAAGAGAAAAAAAAAGAATAGGGATGTAATTTCGTCACTTCTGCCAGTCTACACGCACGAAAAAAACGGTCGGCCTGTTTTAAAATGACGTTCTCTCTTGCGAAATGCTAATACGAAAATGTAAAAGGCTGCGAACTTTTCTTGATGCGTGTACTTTCAATTCAGCTACAGTTTATTCTTGTCTTGTATAGAATAAAGAAAACAATAACTTACATTGTACATTAATATTACCTCCTTTTCAATATTGCACTTGTTTTTTTTTCCTTTTTGATTCGAAATTTGAAAGTAAATATATGTACATTGTAAGATCCCTCAGTGTTCGTTATAGCGTGATCTCTTATCGTAACAGGCTTTACACAATGCCAGGCAACAGGCAATAGGAATAGGGAATAGAATTTTTGACGCGTTGGATTCGTCGGAAATTTTTTTCCAACCAATCCAACGCGTTAGAAATTCTATTCCTTGTTCCTGTTGCCTGGCATTGTGTGATAGGCTTAAATGTAATAGCGTGTCTCACCCAAGGCCGGATTAACGTTTTTGAGGCCCAGGGCTATTGGCTCCGTGGGGGCCCTTTATTGAAAAAGCGGGGGGGGAGGGGACAAATTTTGTACACCCCTCTTTGTACAAAAGGTGTAGAAAACAATTTTCTTTTTTTCATAAAGCTTTTATAAAAATACATGCTATACATGAAGATCTTGCATTAGCGTTTAAAAAGTATTCTTGAATAGTGCTCTCTCGGGTGAGGCCCCCTAATAAGTGAGGCCCGGGGCTATAGCCCCCTTGGCCCCCCCTTTAATCCGGCCGTGGTCTCACCCTCCAATCCCTTCTCCGCTCCGTGCAACAACTGCATAAGCGGCCTCCATACTGCATGATCCTGGAACGTAGTGCGAAGCTGTTGTACGCTCCTCGAGAGGGAATGCAAACACCTAACCGCGGCTAAGCGTACACGGGGCCCGCCGGGATCCTGAAGACCAGAAACAACTTGGTCCATGAGATTTTCCGTCTCGATTATACGCTTTCGGATATCCTCGTCATTCGCCCCGAGAGACGCGAACGCTCGGAACGCAGCTTGTCGCATGTCCTGCGTTAGCGTTGCGTCCTGGACCTGAGTAAAAAAATATTAGACAATTTTCACTCAAGCAGGATCGTGATAGAATCCAACAGCACTGAGTCGTCTCTGTTTCTACACACTGAGGATACCCAATGTATCTAAGGTAATTCCAGCTTACTTGCGGGTGCGGTCTCAACAACTCCGCCAGTGTTGGTATCAAATGATTGCTAATGGAAGCTAGACGCTGCAGATCCGTATTGACCTCGGTGAGGTACGCGAGTGTCTCGGCCGCGGCGACTCTCTCGCGCGGCGGCCGGTCCCGATGGCAGAGGCGCACGAGGCAGGGTAAGGCGCGGTACACCACTCGCGGATCATTGGCCGGCAACGCTTCGGCCCTGTGCATGTACGCGATGCACCTCGCCGCCTCGAGCTGTATCAACGAGCTCTTCTCGCGTCCCATTAGTTGGCCTAGCGCGAGGGGCACCAGTCTACCGTGGACAGTGTTGCTCGTGCTGGCCGACGCGACCATAAGCGACACCATGGTATTTTGGTAACACATGTTCGCCAAGCAGGCCAGCGCCGGCAGCTGAACGTCGGACAGAGGGCAGTCCAGTTGCATCGCCAGTGTCTCCACCGCCCCGCCTTTGGACAGAGCGTTCTGCTCCTCGGCCGTCTGACAAGCAATTTGCGAATTAGTTCCCTCCTTGTGGCGCCAATCTTTTGTTAGACTTGTCAGGAGCCTCGGATCTCTCTTTACCTTACATGCCGTGGTCAAGATCGTCGCGACGCAGACTTGACAGGTGACCGAGCGACTCGCCAGGGACAATAACCGTGGCACTAACGCGGGATCCTGGTAGATCGTGTGCACTGGCGCTGCCGCGTGCTGGAACACCGTGCGCAGACACCGCAGGCAGGCCTCGTGCAACAAATCCAGCACCTTTACCTTGCCGTCCACGACGATCTCGGGGGACGGCGAAGAGAGCAGAACTTGAAGAAGCAACGGGACTACACCTAAGTCTATGAGCGCCAGTACATGCTGATCCGTGCCCTTGGCCAGGGAACCTAACGTCACGGCCGACTCCAGTCTTATACGGTCGCCGATAGTACCGGACGTGTCTCCGAGCAGCTGCAGGAGTCGCGGCACCACACCCTGAGCTATAACCGAACCCTTCTGTCTGTTGCTGCCGATCACCGAATTCTTCAGGCATCTGAGGGAGATCAGATCGATTAACACAGCTTTAAGGAATGCCATTAAAACGGAGGATAACGTTAGGGCCTGAGTAGCATTTTCTTCTACTCTTAACATGTTTTATGTTCTCAACTCGCTGCACTAGTTCAGAGTTTATCTTTCTCCTTTCAACGTGGAGGGAAAAATAATATCTCAACTAGTGCAGCCAGTTTAGCTTAAAAAAACTGACACTTTGTTTTGAAATCACGCATAAAGCTTAATATTACATTTGTCGTACGACGCATTTTTCAAGCACGTTGATTGGCCACAAGCTAGAAAATTCCTAGATCCTCGAGAACTTTCATATTCAGCCAATTGACACGCTTGACAAGTTTTTAAGTGCGTTGATTGACTGTATAGTAGAGAGATGTTATCGAGTTTCTAGAAATGTTCTATTCTGCAGCCAGTCAATACGCTTGAAAAATTTGTCGTACGACAAATGCAATATTAGGCTAAGGGCCTGAGCAGTCTTGTACTCTTGAGGCATAAGACAGTTATTGCGTGTTACCTCGATACAAACATAAAATACTGTTTAAGGCTGTCTTAAGAGTATAAGACAGCCATACTGCTCAGGACCTTAGGCTGACGGCAGAGAACAATCTGGAAACCCTTAAGACTAAGTTGTAGACGTAAGGCAAGGCATAGGCTGATGGCAGAGAACAATCCGTAAACGCTTAAGACTGTCTCAGTCGTAGACGTAGGGCAAGGCAGGGAGAAACGTAAGTCGTGAAAGGCTATTGTATACGACTTACGTTTCTCTCTGCCTCGCCCTATGTCTATGACTGAGAGTCTTAAGCGTTTACGGATTGTTCTCTGCCATCAGCCATACAATAGCCTTTCACGACTTACGTTTTTCCCCACCTTGCGTTACGTCTAAGACTACCATCACTAAGACAGACCATCAGTCTGTCTCGTGTCCCAAGAGTACAAGACAGTTAGGCCGATGGCAGAGAACGATCCGTAAACGCTTAAGACTGTCTTAGATCGTAGACGTAAGGCAAGGCAGAGAGAAACTTGAGTCGTGAAAGTCTATTGTATACAACTTAAGTTTTTCTCTGCCTTGCCTTACGTCTACGACTAAGACAGTCTTAAGCATTTACGAATCGCTCTCCGTCATCAACCTTATTCTGCTCAAGGGGGTCGATTGTGTCCCCGAAGGGGGCAGTTAGAAAGAGATAAAGCCACTCACTTTCAACACTTTCCCTATATTGTAGGATACACAATTAACCCCCAAGGTCCTCAGTCTTAAGGTTAAGGGAGACTTTTTTTTCTTTCTCAAACTCACATAATCGCCTCCAGACATTTCTGCGCGTCCGGGGAGTACAGCTCGTCGATGTAGCTCCTGGAGCTCTCGATGTCCTGCAAGAAGACCGCGAGGGGATCTATAGCCGACGTGGTTTCGCGCTTACGGACGACAGCGGGGATCCGCGGGATCCGCGGTCGGGACGGCCGTCTTTCGCCGGAGGCCGCGCGCGATTTCGATCGGACGTCCAACTCACCATGTACGGCTGCATCACCGACACCATCCTGGCGCGGCCGCGTTCTCACATAAATGCCCGGAAAATGGTTGCAACTCGGTCGGGCTTCCTGGGCGCGACGACTGCCACGAGGAAACCGTCAGATCCAGTTTGCGTGCTACCGCGAGACGTTCGCGACTCCGTTCGTGCGCTGCGCGTTCTCGTGTTCTAAAATAAGTTCGACTCGTCGAGCGTCAGCGGCGCCAACGTCGCGGGGCGTTTTTCCCCCAGCCCGTCTATCGCCAACGGCCCGCCATCTAATTCCCCTTCCCCAACGTGCGAGAAGGCGAGGCTCGAATGATTATTCGAGAATCCAGTCTGCGGATTACTCTTTTCAACTGATTCGCGAGATATACCATAAATCTTCTGGAATCTACAATCTATAAAGTAAATGCAATTTTTTTACGCTCCCCGCCAAGTGTTGCGCGTATCAGAGAGAAACCTGAGATCGGCGTTTCGGGAGACTGTTTCGCGCGCCCTTACCCCTGGTCCACAATCTTGCTTTAAGTAAGCTGTAAGCCTCAAGCCGTAAGAAACGAACCAATCACGGGCATTTATTACCCTCACTCTCACCTGTGATTGGTTAATTTCTTGCGGCTTAAAGTTTACAGCTTGCTTAAAGCAAGATTGTGGACCAGGGGTTATGGCTCCTGCCCACTGGACGCGGCAACGTTACCGCGTCCAGTGGGCAGGAGCCATTAGTCCCAGTCTACAATAGATGATTTAAG